TTGACCTTTAACCTGTCGCTGTTTGCACCTTTGTTTTGAATTTAGCATACAGTACGACTACATAAACAATTAGGAATAAGTGTGGCACACAAACCAACAGATTCACTTCAATGAATTCTGTGTAGACCAAAGGACAAAATGACAAATGAAGAAAAATCAAATATCATCTACAAAATAAATTGCTCAGTCTGTGAAAAATACTACAAAGGACTAAGTGGACGGCCTCTTCAGTTTCGTTTACGTGAACACCAATTAGCAGTCAAACGCCACGACAACGCTTCGCTTATATCAATACACACGGACAATTCTGGACATGCACTCGATTGGAACAATTTGAAAATACTGGATAGGGGGAGTACAAAGAATACTAGAGAATTTTTAGAAGCTTGGAACTCAGGTCCATCAGCAACCAATAAACACATCGACATTGAACCAATTTATCAACCATTCAGGAAAATCATAGGTGACACAGGATCAAGAAACAGATCAAAAGGGGGATGCAATCAAAACAAAGTTGCAAACAGCGACAGGTTAAAGGTCAACAGCAAAACCAATCAAGATCGGGGTTAACAGAACAAGCTACAGGTCAAACGTGGGGAAATTCGAATGCTTCACTTCTATCTGAAATTTGTGCTGATGATGTTGTTCAGAAGAACAATGAAAACTCCACAACCAAAACATCCAGCTCAGAGAAGCAAACAGCACCACCACAATCATCCACCTCTGATACAAATCTTCACCACCTCAACACGGAATGTTCATACATTTATACAAAATTCAAATTCAGTTTTTTAGGTTAAATTATAAATATTTTACTTGCTTAATTCAGTTTAAAATGAACTGAATTATCTTCCTTTTAATAATTTTTTGCCTGAAATTTAATCAGTCCTACTTAGCAAATATATAACACAAGTTTACATAGAATAGATAGAAAGTGGATAGTTGCGAAATCCTGGACCTACAAATAGGAGTTAATGCTCTTACCTGCTGTGCAAGTGAATAGCTATTCAGATTCAGTAGCAAAGTGGATAAGGCAATAGAGTTCGAAGAAAACTGTACGGAATTTAATCCTAGAGTGAACATCAGTTCTGAGATGCCGGTACAATCAACTGACCACCCTCACATAGAATCGAACGGCTGTTCTGTATTCCACTGGTAATCATATTCCATTTATTCTATATGAATTGTAAACTACAGTATGTTAGTCTACACTTTTTATGAAGTCTCATTATTTCTTTTGAAATTCCATTGTTTATTTATTTGATGTTTTCCCTGATACTGGCATTTATCTTGATTATTACATCACTTTTTACCAATGTAACTGGGATAACTTAAATTAGTACTCATATATGTTTCGTTACTTTCTCTCAGTCCATGTCATCCTATGATGCATTTGTATCCAGTGTTGTCCGTGCCAACCTTGGCATTTAGGTCTCTCATCAGAATGGTCAAATCCTTTGATGAGCATCTGTCGATAATTGACTGCAGCCTTTCGTAGAATCGATCTTTATCGTCGTCATTGTAGTCATTGGTAGGTGCATAGCATTGGATGACGTTCATTGTAATGTTCTCCTTTGTTTTGAAGGATGCTTTGATGATCCTAAGTCCATGAGATTCCCATCCTATCAGTGCCACTCCTTGTGTGTGTGAAGCATTTCCCTTTTCATGGCCGGAGCCTGAAGCTAATATTTTTGTCCTAACTATGTGCACTGTGTTTCATTTATTCCAAATACCACCAAATTATATCCTTTGATTTTTGCAGCAGCTTGGTATAGTCTTCCGATCTCTCACAATATTCGAACATACGATGTACCAAAGAGAATGGTTGCTCTGGTTTTGAGAAGCATCGGTCTCATGACCTCCGAAGGAACTCGGCTTTCATCATGAGGCTTCATAACTCTTCTAAATGAAGACCTTCGGACTTCCAGGGCAGAGTTTAAATGGTTTTAGCGAGTTCGTTTTCTACGAGATATGGTCTCCAACCCTATGCTTAATTCTCCTCCTTTATGCGGGTGTGGGACCGGCAGTAGCCCCAGAGGGACCCCAGGCAGAGTTATTCATCATTCACTGAATATGAAATCATAAAGTTTAATCAAACCATCATGAGATATTGATGCAACCAGACTAGTTGTCAAACTATGACATCATCATTAGAATCTGTTAGCATTTAAAAATAGAAAACTTCAATGATTGATTATTTACTTACTTGTAGATGTTTTAGAAATCAAATGTACATCTTCTAAAATGATTACATTATTCATTAAATTGTTTATTTGATGAAACAATTGTTTTTGATATGAATGATGATTAGGTATTTGTGAATTCGAAATGATTTTATGTATAAATTCATTTGATTGTATTCGAAATGAACTTGTACGGTTATTTTTATTATTCGAATCAATTAATTGTTTGCGTTGTTCTGAATTTTGACTTATAGCAATGGCTAGTTGAGATTTACCTGAACCGAATGGACCAGAAATAATTACTGGTCGACCAGATTGTATGAATAATGAACCAGTAAATAAATGAACTGTAAGCTAAAATAAATATATATAAGGAATCAGATTAAATGAAAAGATAGTTGTGAGATGTTTTAAAAAGTAGAAAGTAGGAAGTCTGTTTACTACTTTCAAGCATCTTAAATCTCAATATTGTACAAAAGATTCGAATCACTTTGATTAGTGAGTCACATAATGATTGGTTTAAATGGGTACCTAAATATTTATGCACCAAGCAAATTATTGGATTTGTGAGTAAGCTTGGATATTACCTGCCTGCTCAAACTGAAACCGTCTTTTTCAGCGGACCACCAGCCAAGTCTTTGACCTACGTGTCTAATCCACAAGACAGTGTAGCAACGTAAGGAGATTCAGTCTCATGGTAGCCAACAGTAAACAACAGTAAATTCATAAACCATTAGTTCCTTCAGGACATGGAAGCGCATGAGCATCATTTGTTTAGAATCAGAGTTTTCCAACTCCCTTACGTGGATGCGGTGGACACACCAACCCGGTAAACCACTGATCCTGTCAAATTCGTAAAAAAACCCTGGCTGCAAGAGAAGGCGACGATTAGGACTTCCCTGGCAGTTACTATATACGCATGACCATGCGAGAGAACTTCCAAAGAGAAAGCAAAGTCTCCCCACTCTCGGTCAAACCGGGCATTTGGGGCTTCTAAATGGGTCAGTAGAACTATTGAACTAGACAAAGGTGACACTGGTCACTAACCGCTTGATTTTAAAATAACAAGAATTATTTACAGCTCCTTATCTACTTCAGTTAGTAAATGCAAATGGTTTTGTCTGGAAGCAATCACGTCGAGAAAAAAACTACCAACTAATCTTTTGCTTTTACAATTTTTGATTTTTCAATTAGAATTATGGAGATTATTGTTTTTACACACTGAAATCACCAATCGGTCAATGTTAGACCACAATTGGAAACCTGGACGGCCGTTTCGTCCTGGGACTTATTATCAGTGCTCATCCACCGACACCTGTACCTCGCAGGATTCGAACCCAGGACGCCCAACGTCTGGACCACATTTTGTAGATTTCCAAGTGTTATCACTAAACTATAAAAACATGATACGAATATTTTAAATCTCTAACAATACAAACAAGTTAATGCAATGTGGCTTAAATTTAGTATGCAGAATAGTGTCGTTCAGAAGTTGCTAATAAAGAGAAGAGTGTTGGGTCCGAATGAATGGCACGATCAAAATGCTTAGAAGACTAGAAGATGTGTGAAAGAAGAGGGCCAATTGTTTGATTGTTTGGAAGTCTGAGGATAAGATGTACACTTTCAATAATATATTCTTGATATATATTTACAGTTATAGAATGATAAATTGAAACATTTTTATTTTCTTTCAACTAATTCGCAAAAAATACATATCAATCAAAAGTATTTCATGAAAGAAGTCATGAAACTTATTATCAAAAAACTTTAGTCATTGTCATTATCAATATGAAGAAGTTATTTGATAAAGTTGTTATCTATTTGAACACTTCTACTTTCGATAAGATACACTAATTGTATTAGTGTCTGAGCATAGGACATCATCTCGTTGGTTTGTCATACATACTAAAACATGAAAAATAAACTCTATAAACATTCCCCCAGACCTAAAAACTTCCACATTACAATCGATTAACTTATCAAAAAAAATTATTTAATTTACATGAAATAATGTTGGCAATAATGGCTTGTTCTGATAAGTATTTTTTCCTGGAATAATGGTATCATATTCTTCTGGCCAGTGGATTTGTGAACAATCTGTATGCCAGAATGGTGTCAAATAACCGGTTCTTAAATCCACAAGACAATTGAATAAACTATATTTAAGTTCTTCCATAGTTTCATCTTCTTGATAATCAGCTTTAGTATTATTCCATTCAATATCTGCACGGGTAGAAGTATTATATTTACTTGTACAATAATTAATTTGTTTAGTATAATACGATTCAAGGGATAATGTTGTTAGTGATGACAATGATAATGATGAGGTTGATGGTGAATTATCCATCGATTCAATGTTCAATGATTTAGGTAATCGAATAAAATCTTTCAATATTCTTAACAGTATTGTTTCAAAGCTAAAATATCATAGCAGTAATAATAACAACAATAATAACGAAATTGAAACTAAAATTCCACGTATGTTTTTAATCAGAAATGAATTTTAATGATAAAATATTCAAATTCTTCTTCTAACTGATTAGTGTTAGTGATACAAACATGGATCAAATTAAAATATGCAATTATAATATTAAAAAGATGAGTAGTTTATTCGATGTAGAATTACTGTTCAACGTGAAATGATTTCAGTTGACAGGAGCCGCGGAATTAATTAAAAACTCCGGAAGCAGTGAACTTCCATTACAAATTTTCTTGTGACTTTTCATCTAAAATCAATCACCGACCCTCTAAGTATCTTGAAGTAGGCCGAAGCTAAACAAAAACAAACTACCTTATTCTGAGTCATTGGTTTGAAGCTAATTATGAACGAACACAATGATTTGCTTATACAAGTAGACATCGTCAACCGTGAATGCAAACGCTTCTGGTTGAAGTCTTTATCTGAAGACCAGCTTAAAGCCCTCATCCTCATTTGCAGCTTCGAGGCCAAAAGTTCAGTGACGTAAAAACACGACTACTGGGTAGATTGGATCAAGATCCTAAACTCACTCTTTGTGATATTACCAATGAATATCAACGCCTCAGTAATTTGCAATGAGACACGACTATGGTTCAAAATGGTGGGTCTAGTCGATCTGAAGTACGCGTAGTGCAACAGTCACCACGCCAGAACAAATGTGCCCCTGCTACACCCAGTCCATCCCACTACAGCTCAGTCCGACAGACAAAAACGAATCCCCCTGCTGCTTGCTGGCACTGCGGCTCATGGCACTATGTACGGACTGCCCATTTAGGCAACATCAATGCAGAAAATGTGTAAGGTCATTGGTCATAAAGATGGTCTCTTCCTAAAGAGAATGCCAAACCGATCCAGAAGTACCAAGAACTTTGTTCCTAGATCCAGTACCAATGCATTAAGCCTAATATCTTCCTGCCAAAGCTCATCACCAGGTGAGAGGAAATTTACTACTCTTAATATTAACGGGCATCCGTTTAGATTGTAAATAGATGCCCCATCTGATGTCACCATCCTCTCACGCAAAAATTGGACCAAATCGGGCAGCTCAAGCCTGCAGCACACAACACAGAATCCTCGTACAGCATGTGGTAATCACCTTCATCTGTTAGGACAATGAGAATGTAAAGTTGCCTTCCGAGACTCGTCATTTGCTGGTTTATGTTATATGACGCCAGCTGATCTAAATTTACTTAGTTTAGATTGGTTTGACGAGCTGAAATTGTCTGATGTCCCGTTAAATACCATATGCCATCAGGTATCACGAGCACATGACCCCGAAGCATATACGAGGAATCTAATGACGCAGTTTTCAACCATCTTCCAACCTGGATTAGGTCGGTGCACTGCCATGAAAGCAACACTTCGTATGAAACCTGGGACTAAGACTGTTTTCCGTCAAAAGTGATCCATGCCTTATGCAAAATTAGCAACAGTGGACGAAGGATTGAATCGCCTTCAACAGCAAGGAGTTATTACTCCCGTTTCTTACTCTAGTTGGGCAGCACCCAAAATTGTTATCAAGAAGGCCAATGGCATGATACATATATGTGCTGACTTTTCTACAGGTCTCAATGCAGCTCTGGAACAGCATCATTATCCTCTGCCAGTCCCAGCAGATCTGTTCACTATGCTGAATGGGGGAAAGTTCTTCGCAAAGCTCGACGTAGCTGATGCTTATTTGCGAGTGGAAGTAGATGAAGCATCAAAAGAGCTGCCTACTATCAATACCCAT